TGCTAGCTTAAAACCAAAAATAATAGCCTCTTACAAGCAATAGTCAAAGCTTGCAGAAGTAAGAAAATACAACTAGAGCTAACTAAAGTAAAAGTACATTCAGGTGATCTATACAATGATATAACAGATCAGTTAGTAAAAGAAGGTGCAAATAGAAGTATACTGCTAGAAGTCAATAATGTCAGCATCAAAAATATTAAGTTCATTCCAGAGTAGAAAGGTTGCAAATTAGATACACTACTAAGAACATTTGTTAAGAATTTAGTTCAAATAATATACAAGGTGAAATGAACTTGGTTAAGGAAAAAAAATAATATCTGACATCAGCATCATCTTAAAAGTCAAAATTGGAAAGCATTCAAAGGCCTGTTAAGAAGTTGTTATAAGCATCAAAGTAGAAGTATAAAAGCAAATCACTTACGTATATTTAAAGTAAAGTGTATTGAAAATCTGCTTCCTACTGTCAAAATATTAAACAATAGAAAACTGAATATATACAGAGACAGTATATATAAAAGGTATTTTATTAAGCCAGAATCAGATAAGCATATTATCTACTGTAAAAAAGCACAAGATATACTAACAATAATAAGCAAAGAAGTTTGAAAAAAGATGTGAAGTAATAGAAGAAAGAAGAAAGTTAGAATCTTTATAAGTTAATACAGATCATAACAAAGATATCTGAAAAAGAAAAACAAACCTAGAATGTCGAATGGCTGCGAAGAATCCTGAATGAAGATATTGCTAGAAAAATAAAGAAAGTAATTAGTATAGAGAAATCTACTATAAAATTCTGATACATGTTCTGGAATATTTGGATAGAATATGTATATTTAGAAGTTTAGATTCCAAGATATACAGATATGAATAATTAGGAGAAAGATGAAGAAATATCGTTGAAAGATAAGAAAGCTAGCAAAATAAGAAAAACAAGAAAGAGAAATAAAAGAAAAAAGACAAACAAAACAAGCCAAACTATGCTAGATAAAGAATGAGTAGATAAGAACAGTAGAGTATTGAGTTTAGACTTTAAATTAGCAAAAGATAATTTGTTGGAGGGAATTGTAAAAAGAGAAAAGGTTTATAGACATAATTAGCAAACATGATGAGCTGTGGTGTCTTCCTTTGAAGTACTTTTAGTTACTCATTCTATGAGTTTGAAAGTAAAGAGGTTAAAGGTCACTATAGCAGATCGTACTTAGGTATCATAATAGTAACCAAGTAAGTTAATACTTAGTAGTAGTCACTAGATAGTAATATATACTAGATAGAAATGTTTTAGTTATAGATTAAAATTATTAATTAAATAAAGTATTAGCATGATTGCTGAAAAAAAAAAAAAAATTAGATGATACAAATATTTATATAATCATAAAATAAATATCATGTGAAAATTAATTAAATTTTTTTTTACATGAGTAGGAGGTATAAATAGCAAAAATAAAGAATACAAATAGTATTATCTTTATTTTTTTTCTATTGTTTTTAAATATTTATTAATATATTTTGTCTTTATATAAAATTAACACAAAAAGAAGTACTAACAGAATTTAAAAATAAAAATTAAAATGATTTTATTACTATTCTTTAATTACTGAACATTCTAAAAAAAAAAGCAATTATATTGATTTTTTTTTAATTTGAATATTCTTTTTGTACTTTTATAGATTTTTTCATTTACTTTTTTTTTGGTTATTCTTTATTATTTTTTTAAAAAATATTTTGCATCATAGCATTAATTTCAAAAAAAATAAAAAATAAAAAATATATTACAATTTTTGTATTATAACTTTTTTTATTTTCAAAAAAATTATTTTGATATAACTTATTAATATTAAATTATATATAGTAAAAATATTTTAAAAAAAAAATCAAATTTAATTTTAAAATTTACTACTTATTTATTAATTTTAAAGCCTCCTTTAATTGTTCTCTGTATTCTTTTTATCTTGCTTTATACTTGCCAAATTATACGTCTTCTTTTACCTTCTTGTAGTTGTATTTTCTATTTCTGCTGTTAATACTGTATATATCAAAAATATCACTTAAGTATTTGATAGAAAAAAAAGGAAAATCAAAAGTCCTTCATATAATATATCATAAAAAAAAAAATAAATAAAAATAAACTCGTACTTTCTCAGATCTGAGTTTATATAAAAATAAATACAGAGTCTAGTTTATTCTCAAAAATTTTAATCAATATCTACTCTAAAGCTACCAAATCAAATTATATATTATGAGTCTTGATATTTGAATTAATAGAAAAGCATTAGACTGGTTTAGACTACAATTAATTACAAATAGTCTTCAGCTTGATTTAAACTATTAATATTAAACTAGATTCAAGTATAGTGAGTTTTGACATTTGAAATTAATAGAGAAGCATCAGTCTGGTTTAGACTGCAATAAATTGCAAGTAGTCTTAGCTTGGTTGAAACTATTAATCTAAACCAGATTCAAGTATACTGAGTCTGATATTAATAGTTTGTAATTTCTATCAATGAAATTCTTTTTTTAAAAAAAAAAAAAATATCAAATAAAAAAAATAAAATAAAAAAAAATAAAAAAATATTATACATTAGAATTGTCAAATAATTTATTTAAGAAAAACACTAAAAGGAATACTATGACTAAGATCCTAGCTAACAAGTGAAATATATAATTCTGTAACTCTGAATCCTATAGTTGCTCTTAGAAAAATACTAAAAATAATAAAATTTGTTAAAGTTCTTTTAATAAAAAAAAAGAGGAATCAACTTCTGTTGAGAATACCTATAATCTCTTTGGTCCTCTTTAATTGTTCTCCAGTTCTTTTTATATTGTTTTATACTTGTCAAATTATATGTCTCCTTGTAGTTGTTGTTTTGTGATTTTGTAGTATAAATATCTAGAAAATATAAACACTATGATAAAGTGTATAACAAGAAGAAAATTTTTGCTTAAAAAAAAAATAGCCAGGCTTGTTTTTATAGAGTTTAGTAAAATGATCAGTGTTTATTTTTCATGTATGTGGATCCAATCAAATTTCTTTATTTAAGAAATCAAGTAATTTTATTAGATCTGTATACGTGAAAAATAAACACTAGGTAATACAAACCAGATATATCAGTCCAAATTGGGCAATGACTAGGAAACCCAAGTATTATATGTATCACTTTTTTATCCTACCACTACATTGATATAATAATTAATTGTAAATGTTGTTTATTCAGTAATTGATATTTAAAAATAAACAAAAAATTTAGGGGTAAAACTACCCTTCGAAAAGGGGGTTTTCCTAGCCAACCCAAAATCCAGTAACAGTAATTTATTAACTCTAACTTCAATTTCCTTATAATAAACTTAGGTTTATTATTTGTGTCTTTCATTTTGTATTATTTGTGTATATAACAGACAAATTTATTATATAAATTGATATTAATAAAAGTTGTTCAGAAGATCATAATACATGTATTCTAATAGTGTTTAGCAAAACCATACTTAGAATATATTTATTTTTTATACATATGTTTTTAGAAGATAAGTAAATATGTACAATGTGTACGTAATAAAAATGCTATTTAGATACTATTAATAAACTCATTTATATTATTAAATAATTAAGTTTATTTATAGGGATGTTAAGTGGCCTAGTTCGGACCGGTTCACTCCAGTTTCACTTCAGATTTTTAGTCATAACTTTAACCCACTTCAACTTGGGTTGGGTTCACTCCGGAGCTTCTCCGGAGTATGCTACTCCATTAACAACCCTAATTTAGAGTTAATCAATCGGAGTATAGTATAAAGTTATTAATCGCCCAACTAGTTTTAAATTATGATATTTAAAAGTTCTGTTATTGATTCAAAAAATTTTTTATTTATTCGATATGTCAAAAAAGACACTTTTTAATATCATGTGACTAGTGCGCTAGTCCCGAACTAGTCCCAGTTCAGACCGGAGCAACTACTAAGCAAGTCTGGAGTGGCTTTGGGTTGAACCCAACCCAAGTTGGAGTGGGTTGAGGACTAGTTCAAACCAACCCAACCCATTAACAACCCTACTCTAAATCACGCATATTTTATATTAACCCGATATGGTTAGATGGAACCAGTGAAGGAAATCTGAAAAAAAAATTGTTTTTTGAGAACATAATATTTTGAATTTGTGTTCTTATTAATAAAGTTTTAAAAAATTTTCTGTTCTCAAAATACTATTAACTATATTAAAAATTATGTTCTCAGAATGAGAACATAATTTTTAAATATTATGTTCTCAAAAATATTTTTATGTTCTCGAGAACGTTGAGAACATCAGATTTCCAACACTGGATGGAACCAATAGTCCTAACCGGCTAAGGACCGGACCGGACGGACTTTTTAACATCCCTATTTATTTAAATCTATGATAGATAGTAAGGCATTTTAGACAAAAACGTACTTCAATCTACAATATACGTTTAACGGTCCAATAGGCTGTTGTATATTTTTTGTCTTCTAAGAAAAGTTCTTGTGGTTGTGGATTATTTTGGATTATTTTTACACAGCGAGTATAGACGTTCTTTTGAAGCGAATAAAGGCTTTTGTGTTGATTCTTTTATTAATGAAACGTTACATTCTTGAAATTGATTTACATTAGTCAATCATACGAAAGTCGGCCTATGAGGCTAGGGTACTTAATTAAACCGACACCAGTCAAGCCATTGTGGCACACCAATATTTCCAGATGCTAAGCGTAATACATATCATTATAATTTCTTTACAATGTGTTTTTGTTTAAATTAGAAAGCTTTCAGTGTGTTATCGGGAACTGTACTGTACGCGCATTTCAGCATTTCTAAAGAATGATGATTCGACGCAACTCAGTTTTAAAACCATTCATTAAAATATGACGCACGTATATACCGATAACTGATAACGATAATTTCGAATCACGTGAGCATTGTTTTTTAATTGGAGCCTTTTATTTATTTCCAAAACCCATTTTCTTCAAATTATCACTAGATTAAAAAATCGTCGAGGTAATGGAAAAGGCAGTTCGAAGAGCAACAAAACCTAAGCGTGCAGCTCCAAAAGCAAAATATTTAAAAGGTACTTGACAAAATGTACATTGTTAGATCAGTTTGATTAACTTGAATACCATTTTTTAATTTTATCTTTCCAGTTTTACTAGACGCAACGTCGGATGAAGTTAGTTTAACGTCTACGCTAAAGTATATTAATCATAGATTAAAGGAAAACAATTGGACAGTAAGTGCACTTTTTTTAATTTTATTTATAAATTTTATTCTTTTGCTATAATTATATATATAAATATTTGTACATTTAGGTTGTTTTCAAAAGTCTCATTGTTATTCACGTTTTGATGAGACAGGGTGCGAATGCACGTGTTTTAAGAATTCTAGTAAAAGAACCAACCATTTTAAATGTATCAAGTTTCAGAGATAAGTCAGGAACTCAAGGTATGTATATCCTAGCATAATTTTTATCCTCACTGAAACCATTGGTGCAATGACTTGCGTTTGTAATATGGAAGTTTGCTAACCATTGCAGGAGCAGAACAAACAAAACTTATCCATACATATGCTGCATATATTGAAGAAAAAGTAGCTGTATATAGAGAATTAAAAATTGATTTTGTCAGAGAAAAATTAGATAATGGTGATAGCCGATTAAGAAAACTCTCAGTTGAAAAAGGCCTTTTACGGGAGGTCGAAATACTTCAACGTCAAATTGCAGCTTTGTTAAATTGCAAGGTTGATTATTTTATTTTATTTTATTTTTTTCATTAAGATTTACAAACTTATTTTAAATGATTCACATTAGTTCTTTGTAGATGAAATAGATAATGAAGTAACATTGGCAGCATTTCGACTCCTAGTTGAGGATTTGCTCACACTATTTCAAGCTATTAATGAGGGTGTCATCAATGTTCTAGGTAATTAGACTTATAATTATTATATTTGAATGAATCATAAGTAATGATTGTGATTTTCCCAACGGGTACAATCTGATATCTTTAATTTTATATATCACATTTTTCATTTAGAACATTATATTGAAATGTCACAATTTGATGCTAAAACCTCTCTGAATATATATAAAAAATATGTCCAACAGACTGAAAAGGTGGTTGATTATCTTAGCATAGCAAAAAAAATGCAATCCGCTCTTAGAATGAGCGTTCCTAACTTAAAACATGTGAGCCATCCTTTTGATTATTTGTGAACATGCTTTCATTATTAAACATAGATACAATTTCTAAGTTCAAAGTTCAATTATTATTGGTAGGCTCCTACATCACTAACAGCTACTCTAGAAGAGTATGTTAATGATCCAGATTTTGAGGAAAATAGACGACAATATAAACTTTTACAAGAAAAGAAGAAAAGTAATGATATCAGAGGCCCTTCGAATGACACTCCTAAAAATACTGTAAAAAGTATAAAAAAAAATTAATTAACAATTTAATAGTAAATTTATTATTTATAGTTATGATAAAAATTTATAATTTTATTTTATAGGTGTAGAAACTTCTGTTCCTCCAATCGTTACCAGACCACTCTCAAAAGAAAAAGAGTTTGTAGATTTTTTCTCAAGCATAGAACAAGAACAAACTTTGATCTTTGGACCACTTCAAACATATACACCCACGAGCACGTTGAGTCGCAGCGCTACCAACCCATTTGTAGGGATACAACATCAGCAGATAAACGAATTTTCTTCACAGCCTCAGATAATTCAATCACCATTAATTCAATCGCCGTTAACTCAATCACCGTTGACTTCTCAAGACACTAATCCGTTTCGAGCTTCCATGTTTGGTCAAGATATGTCCACTAATAGATCTTCAATTTTACCATCTGTCCCAACAGTTGTGCAGCAAAACCCATTTCAATCGTCTATATCTTCTCAATCGTCTATACCTTCTCCTTATAATAATCCATTTACTTCTATGAATACTGTTCAAACTCAACAATTATCTTTACAATCTATGCCAATAACATCAATTCAACCTATTACACCTTTAGAAGTAGATAGTAACCCATTTAGGAGGTCTACCATACTTCCAACTACACTTAACCCTTTTCCTCAATCAGTGCCTCAAGGTCCTCCCATAAATTATCAGACTAATCCCATGAATTCTTCTGATTCTTCATTTCCTATTAACCAATTTTAACCTCATACAACTGGAAATTTAACTGGTTAGATTTGATCCAGTAAAAAATACACTAAAATAATTCATATACTGATATTTATATCGATCCGTAAAGAAATATTACGGAATAAAAATTTTTAAAATTTAATTTTATAAGATACTATAGCTATTAGGTTTAAATAATTGTATGTTTTAATAAAAATATAAAAGTACATATTTATTTATACGAGTCCTCGAGTATATAAAATTATTATAGTTGCCGCAGGAAAAAAAAAAAAAAAAAAAGGGTTCGTTTTAAAACCTGTTACGTGAACATTTACATAAATATCGATCATAGATAAAGTGTAACAGTGAATTTTTGCTGCAATTAATCGGATATGACCTAACATTCTGATGCACGTATGTATGTCCTAACAGCCTATCAATTAAAGGCTCGACATACAAAGATACAAAATTCTTAATAGTTGTAAAAACTAATAATGACAGATTTTCGACTTCCAAGACCGAACTTCTTTTCAACGCCAAAGAAAGGTTAGCCTTTGATTTCTAACTTGTCCCTTTACATTTTTATGACGATAAAGTACTTTTTAGAATTATGCCCAAATTTTTTTTTTCTTAAAAAAAAAAAAAAACAAAAAAATTATTGTGGCTTCGCGATCCTTTTAGATTGATCAGAATTGTTAACGAAAAAAAAAAAATTTATAGATTGTGGATTAACCATAACTTGTTTTCTTATTTCATTTCAATTTTTTTAAAAAATAAGGTGAAAACTATGAATTACGGGCAGACTTAAATAGTGAATACCGTGATCGAAGGAAAGATGCCATTAAAAAAGTTATTGCAAACATGACTGTTGGAAAAGATGTTTCGGGCTTATTTCCTGACGTTCTGAAAAATATGCAAACGGACGATTTAGAGCAAAAGAAATTAGTTTACTTATATTTAATGAATTATGCAAAGACGCAACCAGAATTAGTAATTTTAGCCGTAAATACTTTTGTAAAGGTAAAATTTTTTTTCATGTTATTATAAATAATTTAGATATAAACTCTTATTTATAATTTTAATGTGTTTAATTCGTTCAAAAGGATACTGATGATAGCAACCCACTAATCCGTGCACTTGCCATTCGAACCATGGGATGTATCCGAGTTGAAAAAATTATTGATTATCTTTGTGAACCTTTGAGAAAATGTTTAAGAGTATGTATGTTTCTCTTAATTATTATATTTTAAATCAAATTTATGTTATATATATATAATATTTCTTTATATTTTAGGATGATAACCCTTATGTTCGAAAAACTGCTGCTATATGTGTTGCCAAATTATATGATTTAAATCCTAATTTAGCAATTGATAATGGTTTTGTCTCGGTTTTACAAGATATGGTATCAGATGCCAATCCTATGGTAAAAAAATAATTTTATTCTTATTTCCATTTTTAATTTTCTTTACCATTAATTATTATTCCCTTTATTATTTAGGTTGTTGCAAATGCTGTCACGGCTCTTACTGAAATAAATGAATCTTCTTCTACCAAAGATATTTTTATAATCAATGCTCCAACACTTACAAAGTTATTGGTGGCTCTTAATGAATGCACTGAGTATGTTTGATTACTTATTATATTCGGATCTGAATTTTATTAAGCATTATATTAATTCTTTTAATATTTATTTAAAAAAGGTGGGGTCGAATAGCTATTCTTGCTGCACTGGCTGAATTTAAACCTGCTGACTCTAAAGAAGCTGAACATATTGTTGAACGTGTTGTTCCACAATTTCAACATGTAAATGGAAGTGTTGTATTATCTGCGATTAAGGTATTTAACTATACATTTAAAGTGTTATAATTAATTCTCTACTATATTCGAATAATATTTTCGTTTATATGTTTAGGTGGTAATGATTTATATGAGGACTATAAGAAATGATGATGCAATACGGCAATTGGTTAGAAAAATGGCCCCTCCTCTTGGTTTGTAACAATAATTAAACAATAACAAATATATATATATTATATATATATGTACCGGTATATACTTTCTTGAAAAAATCTTTTACAAGCTATCTTTATATTTTAGTTACTTTATTGGCATCTGCTCCTGAAGTTCAATATGTTGCCCTAAGAAATATTAATATTATATTACAAAAACGCCCAGAGATTTTAGCAAATGAAATGCGTGTATTCTTTTGCAAATATAATGATCCGCCATACGTCAAACTTGAAAAACTTGAAATTATGATCAAGTTGGCTAATGAAAAAAATATAGACCAATTGCTATCGGAATTAAAAGAGTAAGATTCAGAAAAAAAAAAACAAAC